ATACATTCCTCTTAAAAACTGACCTTGTTTTTGCTAACTGGTATATTGGAATTAGCTCTCTTGCATTTTCTAGTATACACAGGGACATTAAAGTATCTGTGTGTAAACATAACAGTCAAAACCCAAAATAAAATATAAGAGGAAAGCTAAATAGAAGATGAAGAGCAACAGGATTGCCAAACTTCTTTTTTCTCTTCCCCTTAGGTTAGAAGTGTGGAAGTTGCTTTTTCTTAAATTTCAGTTTTCTTTATTCCTCATTCTTGGCACTTTTTATTTTCCACTTCCAGCTACCTTGTTACAGTGTTATCTTTTTAAAAAATGATCACTGTCTTACTGTAGCAGCTGGAAAGATTTTTGGTTTAAAAGGAAAAGAAAAAAGTGTATTTTGACTTCCAGATGCAAGTTACAAGGACAGGACAAAATTCAATTGGTATGGAAAATCTGGTGGAAGACTGATATTGGTGTATCATTTAAAAACAAAATAAAATAAATCCCTGGCTGAATGTCTTGTGAGAGGTTGCTGGCGAAGCTATGTTGTCATGGGATGGTGGGTAAAACTGCATTGTTAAGGAAATAGCTATGGGGAAGAAAACTAGTTGGAGTCTCAGTTTGTAACATGACAAAAAGACTGCTACTAATGAACTGGCAAAATCTGTAGGTGGTGGAATTATTTATTGAGTAATGGAAGTGGAAACTTCAGAGGGATATAGCGGGCTAGTTTAATATTTGGTGATAGGTGCATTTTTGTGTTAACATAGGAGACCTAATGCATATTGGAAGGAGTAGCTAGAACTATTCATCAAAATGGGGTGTAAATTAAGTATTTGGTTATAAGAGCCCAACATAATTATGAATTACTTTATGAAAATGTCCCATTAGGAATGGAATAAAAAATAAATGTTGGAATGTCTTAAGAATATAACATATACTAGCTTGCATACTATTTTTATATTAATTACATAAGCGTATTTGAAAACTACTAAATGTTACTACTGTATAGCAGGTGGTTCTGGTACTATGTGGAGACCTCCTAGCTTTAGCTCTTTTACAAACGGGCTGTTGTGTTTCTTTGTTGTTTGTATTCCATTTTTGATCAGGAAAAAATAACTGATTTGGGAGAAAACTGTTAGAATAGTGCTGCTCCTGTGCAAATAAAATGGAAAATATAGTTTATTTTTAGCATAAAAAGAAGTGAAAGAAGAGAGGCCTCCAGTAGAGGCTAACAACCTTGAATAAAATACGAGTAAATTTCAGCCTATGCTTGTAACTCTCTGTCATACAACTAAACAAGGAGATGTTAGAGAGCACACTTTGAAAAGTTAAGTAGGGTAGTCTATGAAGAAGTAATTCTTAAAAGATTCAGTTGAGATTGGCTGATTGTGTGATTCAAAATAAGGAATAGATTTTTATACAGACAAGGAGAAAATCCATTAGTAAGTAATAGGAGTTTTAATAAAAAAGATTATAGAGATTGCACTTCAGTGCATAAACTAACCGTGTTTTTAAATGTTTCCTATGAGCAAGTTAGTCTAGACTGCCCACTACAGCCTTTCTTGGATTTTTTTTTTTTAACTACGAGGGGCAGCTTGCTTTCAGAGTTGGTTGATGTTCTTGTCAATTTTGAGTAAATCTGTTGTGCCGGTTGCTTCAGTTTCAAAGCTTTAAAGGCCATAAGAAATTAGAATTAGATTAAATAAATCTGTATTAACAGAGACATACACTTTGGGCTTATTTTCCTGCATAATTGGAAATTTTGTGTTTCAATCCCTACTTGTTAACAGAGGGGAAGTAAGAACATTTTTCCAGATGGTTATTGACACCCCACCCAGCTTAAAAGCTGATGGTTTCAAAGGTTGATGTAGAAGATGTAGGAATAGAATAAAGAATAAAACAGGCAACGTCATCATGCCACTGTTTATATCCACAGTGCGTTCCTATCTTGAATGAATGCTTTGTGCATTTTTTCATCTTTTCCACTTCCCACCCTGTCTCGAAAGGTATGTAGTAGAACTGGAGAAAGTACAAAGAAGGACAGCAAGGATGACTGATTTATATGGAAGAAGACTTAGAGAATGACTAAGGATTCTTAATATTCTTGAGTCTGGAAGACTATTTTTGAAAAAATAAGGGACAATGCTTGGGTGAGTGCTCTCAGGTAAGATTAGTGCAGTCTGTGATTGGAATTAGGACAGACGTGTTAGTGTTTTAACACTGCTGAGATTGACAGCTGGAAAGAGGCTTGCATAGCACATTTAAAAAAGCAAATATTCAGAGAAAAGAGAGTGAGAACATGCAGTGAATTCTACTTATACCTCTTTGAGCTATTTTTTGAGATAGAGTTACTGAGGAGAGGTGGATCACATCAAATCTCTTACTGCCAAAAATGTGCAAAGATCCTTTCTGCTACTTTAGCCTGTAACACTGAGTAGGTTTCTCTTCCTCAATAGCCCTTCAGTCTCTACAGTGCTACAGAATTCAACCTGATCCTTAGTAAGGCTCCCAGGTGATAAATAATTCTCACTTCTTAAAACAAAGAGTTGCCTACTTCTGCTAATTATTTTCCAATACAATTCTAATCGGAGTTAATCTGATTCCAAAATTTAACTACACAAAAATGACAACTTCATTTCTTCTCTCTTCCTCTTTTCTTTGAATTGTCGTCTTCTACTGACTTACCAGAACAATGAGGAGACTGGAAGACTATTTTGTGGGCCAGTATTAATGTATTTCCCATTATTGGTATTCCTTAATCATGGTTTCTTCATATCCCCACAAAAACAAGGGGGAGAGTGTAACAGAAACAGCAGCACTCTTGGTTAACATCTTTAAAGTTGTTTTATGTTTCTTTGGAATTTGTTGGTTTGTTGATTTTGCTGTGATTGCAGTAAAGATGTGCTTACACTAGTCATGACTATTGTGACTAATAAGGTCGTGGTGACAGGCACAAATTCTTATGAGTGGATTTTATAAGCTATCTGGGCACTCTTGTTATGTGCTCAGGCTGCCTGCCTGTTCTGAAGCCCATACTTCCCCATTTTCCATATTGTTATAATATGTTACCTATAGAGTTAAATTTAATATGGAAGTGCCTACATGTAACTATGGTAAGGTTTTCCATTTGCAGTGTAGGTCTACTAAAATCTGCCCATATTTTAGAGATATATCTTAGTATATTACTTTACATTGCTCTTGTTGCAAGTCTATAAACAATAACTTATACCAACCGTTAGGATTATCCATAGCAGAAGGCAACCCAGAGAGGCTGAAGACTAGTGTGTAGCTAGCGTATTATGTATTCTGGCAGGTATGAAGGCTGTTCAGCTGAATTATTAAAGTGAAGGAGAAAATACTTTTCGCTGATTTCTTGACATACATGTTGGACTGTCGGCCTTTAACTACCATTGTTCTGTTCAAGTAACCTGGAGTTGTTTACTCCATTTTTTTCACTGTGTGTGTGGTCCTATCTGTAATACACAGAAGAGGCATTTTGATATTTTTCATTATTTGATATTGTGGTAGGACCTAGAAGCATCATCGTGATTAAGATTCACAAGCGAGGTGTACCCTAAATATTTTGCTGATAAGTTGCTCCATGAGCAGTGGAACTAGGCTTCATACAAATTTTTCTTACATCGTTACAATTCTCTTCTCCCTCTGCTGTTTTAGACCTTTCCTACTTGTAGTAAAAAAGCCACTATGCGCAGCTCCAGCTCAGACTGATTCAGAGCTGTGTCTGTGGTGATTGTGTAGCCTTAGAGCCAGGCAGCGTGGATAGCTTCAGTTCATGCTGCAGCCCTTTGCTCAGCAAGTGCAGAAATTGTCTTTTTCCTCTACCTAGCTGTTGATTTTCGTGAAGCTCATGGGAACTTAGTGTATCAGAGGACATTACTTCTCAGTTTATTTTAACTGAATCTGGTGGTGAACAGATTCATTTAGAGGGATGGAGGTGAAAGGAAGAGTGGGAAGAGGCAGGTGGACAGTATGAGTCATACATGTGATGTTTCCTTGGGAAACCAGGCTAAAAAGGTCCTTGCTAGTCTAAGTATAAGGCAAAACAGGACAGGCAGATGTGTGCAGTGTAATCATAGTCTGTCATTTGTTTGGACCCCCTGCAAAACACTCTGAAAAATAGGTTTTTGTAAATCTCTGTAATTGTACTATGTTTTTTCTTAGACCCTAATATGAGGCTGGCAATATGTTGTAGATAATGCATAGATCAATATTGCAGCATCTGAAGCAATGGTCAGTGAATGTGCTTGAAAAACTACAGAAAATGAAATATTTTTGTATGTAGCTTCCTCTCCATGCCCATATGAGTGGACGAAGATTCGTTTTCTGAGGTGTGGGGGTGTGGGAACCGCATATAGGTTGGCTTAAGAAAGATAAATATAGAAATGTTTGTATCAGACCTGGTGTGTGAAGAATATTAGAATTTGTCCAAGGGAGGGCAACAGAGATGGTGAAAGGCCTAGAGGGTGTGACTTATGAGGAGCAGCTAAGGATACTCGTTTTGTTCAGCTTAGAGGAGACTGAGGGGTGACCTCATTTTTGTTTACGACTTCCTCATGAGGGGGAGCGGAGAAAGAGGTGCTGATCTCCTTCTGGTGTCCAGTGATAGGATGTGAGGGAATGGCTTACAACTGCATCGGGGGAAGTCCAGATTGGATATTAGGAAAAAGTTCTTCACTGAAGTGGTGATCAAGCACTGGAACAAGCTCACCACAGAAGCGGTCATGGCCCCAAACTGTCCGTGTGCAAGAATAGAATAGAATAGGATAGATTATTTCAGTTGGAAGGGACCTACAACGATCATCTAGTCCAACTGCTTGACCAATTCAGGGCTGACCAAAACAAAAAGCATGTTGTTAAGGACATTATCCAAATGCCTCTTAAACACTGACAGGCATGGGGCATTGACCACCTCTCTAGGAAGCCTGTTCCAGTGTTTGACCACTCTCTCGGTAAAGAAATGCTTCCTAATGTCCAGTCTAAACCTCCTCTAACACAACATCGAACCATTCCCACACATCCTGTCACTGGATACCAGGGGGAAGAGATCAGCACCTCCCTCTCCACTTCCCAGGCAGCAGACTTGCTAATGGTGCATTCAACTCCAGCATCCAGATCACTGACAAAAATATTGAACAAAACTGGCCCTAGAATTCAGCCTAGAGGAACACCACTGATGACTGGTTGCCAGCCACATGTAGCCCCATTCACTACAACCCTTTGAGCCCTGCTCTTCAGCCAGTTCTTCACCCAGCGCACTGTGAACCTGCTCATCTCAGAGCTGGACAACTTGTCCAGAAGGATGCTGTGAGGGACAGTATCAAAAGCCTTACTAAAATCCAGAAAAACTACATCCACCACCTTCCCTTCATCCACTAGGTGGGTGACCTTATCATAAAAGGATATCAAATTAGTTAAACAGGACTTTCCCTTTGTGAACCCATGTTGACTGCGCCTGATGATTGCATTATTCTTTAAATGTCTTTCAGTAGTACCCAGTATGATCTTCTCCATAATTTTTCCTGGAACTGAGGTTAGACTAACAGGTCTGTAGTCCTGGGTCTTCCATCATGTCTTTCTTGTAAATTGGAATAACATTGACTAGCTTCCAGTCAGCAGGGACCTCCCCAGACTCCCAAGACCTTTGGTAGATGCTTGAGAGGGGTCCTGCCATCACATCTACTAGCTCATTCAGTACTCCGGAATGAATCCCATCAGGTCCCATGGACTTCATGAACATTCAACTGATACAGCTGGCCCCTTACAATTTTCATATCCACAAATGGAAAGTCACTGTTCCTGTAGTCGTGGTCCTTCAACTTACAGGACCGAGCAGCCTGTCAGGTCCTATGGACTCGTGGGCATTCAGCTGATACAGCCGCTTCTTTACAATTTCAGTGTCCACAAATAAAAAGTCACTGTTCCTACATTCGTGGCCTTCTGACTAAGGGGACTGGGTGGTCCAAGGTCTATCAGTATTATTAAGACTGAGGCAAAAAAAGCATTGAATGCCTCCGCTTTTTCTTCATCCCTATTAGTCAGATGACCATCTTCAACAAGTATCAGTCCAGTGTTTTCTTTAGACCTCCTCTTGCTATCAACATGCTTAAAAAAGCCCTTCTTGTTATCTGACACAACGCTGGCCAGTTTCAACTCTAATTGAGCTTTGGCCTGTTGTGTCTTCTCCCTGCATAAATGAACCACGGCTCTGCAATCTTCCTGCAAAGCCTGACCTCGCTTCCAGAGATCATACAATTTCTTTTTCTTCTTGAGCTCCATGAGGAGTTCCCTGTTCAGCCAAGCTGGTCTTCTGCCCTCCTTGCTTGACTTACGACACAGTGGAGTTGCCTGCTCCGGTGTTTCTAAAAGGCTGACAGGCACTCATGGACTCCTAAGCCCTCAAAAGCAGATTCCCAGGGTACTCTGCTAAATAGCTCCCTGAATAGCATAAAGTTTGCTCTCCTGAAAACCAGGGTACCAACTCTGCTGTCCTTTTTTCTCATTACACTGAAAATTTTAAACTTGACCATTTTGTGATCACCGTGGTCAAGACAGCGACCTGCCATCATATCTCCCATGAGTCCTTCTCTATTCACGAATAACAAGTCTAGCAGCATCTTTCCTAGTTGGCTTACTGAGTACTTGCGACTAGAAGTTATCTTCCACAAATTTCAAGAATTTCCCAGACTTGCTCGTCACAGCAGTGTGGTATTCCCAGTTGATATTTGGGACGTTGAAGTCTCCTATAAGGACAAGAGCTACAGATCCAGGGATTTCTCCTAGTTGCCTATAGAATAACTCATCAGTACTTATATCCCGTCTGGGGTATCGGTAGTAGACACCCACTACAACATCTCCTTTGTTTTCCATCCACCTAATCCTCACCCAGAGGCTCTCAACCACATCATCACTAACTGTAAGAGCTGTATAATCAAACCCTCCCTTACATACAGTGCAACTCCTCCACCTCGCCTGCCCTGCCTATCCCTCCTTGTCGTGGTTTAACCCCAGCCAGCAGCTAAACCCCATGCAGCCGCTCACTCACCCCCCACATTCCGGTAGGATGGGGGAGAGAATTGGGAGGGCACAAGTAGGAAAACTCGTGGGTTGAGAAAAACACAGTTTAATAATTGAAATAAAATGAAGTAGAACAGTAATAATAACAATTATAACAACAATAATAGCAGAATATACAAAGCAGGCAATACACAATGCAACTGCTCACCAACTGCTGACCGCGTGTCATGAACGGGGGCGAGCCCCCCCTCCCACCCCTGCTTTTTATACTGAGCATGATGTCACATGGTATAGAATACCCATTGGCCAGCTGGGTCAACTACTCCGGCTGTGCTCCCCCCCCCCAGCTTTCCCTGCACTTGGCAGGGCCTGGGGGGGTGAAAAAGAGACAGTCCCCGGTGCAAGCACCACCCAGCAACAACCAAAGCATCAATGGGCCATCAACGCTCTTCTCATACCAAACCCAAAACACAGCACACCCTCAAGCTACTGGGAAGAAAGTTAACTCTGCCCCAGCTGGAACCAGGACACTCCTGAACAGCCTGTAGCCCTCTATCCCAGCTTTCCAGTCATGGGACTCATTCCACCAAGTCTTGCTAATACCAACAATACCATAGCTCTGGGAATTGACCAACCCTTCCAGTTCAAGAAGTGTTCAGACACTGCTCTTAGATACATTGTTTAACTTTTAGGTTGCCCTGTGTGGAGTCAGGAGTTGGACTCAATGATCCTCGTGGGTCTCCTCCATTTCGGGATGTTCTGTGATTTAAGAAGAATGATAGTTTGCTTTCCAGTTCAGTTCTATGTAGGTCTGCTGTAGGGTTGGCAACTTGGAACTTAGTAACAAAATATTTGCAATATGTCATGGATGTTGAAGTATCTGTGGAGAAGTTGTTAGGAAGAACTAATGCCTCTCCTTGCTGACAAGACCTTACAGACCGTGAGGAGGAGACTGCTGAAGCTGAAATTCTACTAATATCGAAGCAGATCCTATGGAAGCCACTGGTATATATACACCTGTCACTATGTACTGTGGGCTTGGTGAAAACATGAGAAATGAAATGCTACTGTGTCCCTTACTGTTTGGCAGGTCTGAATATTCACTCCAAAAAGTGTGTTGATGATAACAGAAAGTATGAGGACTTTCTCATAGCTTTATTCTCCTTTGTTTTATCGAAGTTGGATTTACTACTTAACATTTTTGGGTCCTTCTTGAGTCCTGTCAGCCTCAAGTAATTCCTTTTTTTTGAGAATGCTTGTAAGCTACTCCTAGGTAAAGGAGTGAGGGATATTGTCAGTTGAAGATGGTTTTGGTAGTACTTTTGAGTTTTAACAGGAAGAAGAAAGACATTCTGCTGGCAGAAGAGGACCTGGTGGACACCAAGCTGAACATGAGGCAGCAATGTGTCCTGGGGGCAAAGATAGCGAATGGTGTCCTGGGCTGCATTAGGTAAAGAATTGCCAGCAGGTTGAGGGAGGTGATCCTTCCCCTTTATTCAGCGCTGGTGAGGCCACACCTGGAGGCTTGTGCCCAGTGCTGGACTCCTCAGTACAAGAGAGGCATGGACATGCTGGAGAGAGTTCAGCGAAGGGCCATGAAGATGATTAAGGCACTGGAGCACCTCTCCTTTGAGGAAAGGCTGAGAGAGCTGGGACTGTTCAGCCTGGAGAAGACTTGGGGGGACCTCATCAATGTATATAAATACCTGAAGGAGGGTGCAAAAAGGACAAAGAGCCAGGCTTTTTTCACTGGTGCCCAGACACAAGACCAGAGGGAATGGGCACAAACTGAAGCACAGGAGGTTCCCTCTGAACATCAGAAAGCACTTTTTTACTGTGAGGGTGACTGAGCACTGGCACAGGTTGCCCAGGGAGGTTGTGGAGTCTCCATCCTTGAAGATATTCAAAAGCCGTCTGGACACGATCCTGGGCAACTGGCTCTAGGTGGTCCTGCTTGAGCAGCGGGGTTGGACCAGATGACCTCCAGAGGTCCCTTCCAACCTCAGCCATTCTGTGATTTTGTGATTTGGGATTATATATATGAATGTTTTGTTTATGGGCTGAATGTTTGGTGCTAAGAGCACTTCCATTGGACTTAAAAAAAGTTTCCAGTGTTCACTGTTAGCATAGAATATGTCCTAGAGTTACAGATGTTTTGAACAGCACTTACTACTGTCCTTTCCAGTTTTCCAGATCTATTTATTTGTATAGGTAATATTTATAAGTCTGATAGAATACAGTTTTTTTTTTCTTTACAGTTTTTTTTAAAACTCACCAGTATCCAAGGAATTAGAGAAACTATTAGTAAGGAGTAAAGGGATCTGCAGGAATCTAATCTTGATAAGTAGCTAAGTATTCTGTTAAATCATTTAAAGGTGCTAGTGTTTCATTTTATTAAACGGTATCCTATAATTTTGGGGGTTTTTTAACGTGGAGGCCTGCATTTCAGTCCATCAATATTTGTTTGAGTGAAGTTTAAAACCAGCAGTAGGCGCCACAGAAAATAATTTGTTGCTCAGAAAACGATGGTCTTACTACAATCCTAGTAGTAAAAAGTACTAAAAGTACTGCCATCGTGCGTTTCTCTTGTGTGATGAGAAGTAAAATCAGTGCTCTTAGCAGTATTATTTTAAATGATCAGTGAAAAACTGATTTCCATTTCTAATATTTTCTAAGCTATTAAACAATGACTTAAGGTACTATTTATAGTACTTTTACAAATGATACGTCATAGCTAAGGACACCGTTCAATACTACTCACTGCATCTTACAAATTTCCAAGTTAATTATTAAAGTTATTCTGTTTTATGGTTCCGAATATGTCTTGTGCCATCTTTTGCCTTCAGTTTGAGCATAGGACTGTAGCTTAAATTGTTTTCACAGGGATTCTTAAGGTTAATAATCTTTCCTTCTGTGATCATACTGTCACAGAAGTTGGGACTGGTAATATTGCAGGTTCTTCATGATGTATAATTTTAAGATGTAGTTAGAAAAACTGATGGTGAACATGGATGTTGCATGGTTCCAATCTTAGATATTTATTATTTCGTAACATATGGCTTTCATGTGTACTTCTGTGGTGGATAATTAAAATATTTCCCAGAAAAATTCTAAATGATTTAGGTGTAAAAGTCAAAGACAAAATTATACATAGGACTGAAAGTTAAAGGTAGCAAAGGTGAAAACAACAAAAAATAAGGGTTTTAAAAAACAGGAAGTGATTGAACTCATGCAGGTAAAAAAAGAAGTGTGATGGGGAATTGGCAGCTTGTGTTGGGGCAAAAGCAGAATACCAAAAGTCAAGGAACTTGACTTAGTCTGTGAAAAAAACATAACATTTCGGTGTCATATAAACAGATCTATTGAGTTAAACTGAAAGAATCTAAGACCTTCAGTGTAAAGCGTTCAGATTAGAAAACAAAGGTTAGAGCTGTTTGTGTAACTTGGACTTTGCCTTCTTTGTGTATGTCTAGCGGGAGTCACAAATCAGAGCATTGGTTACTAGTTTTTGCCGCTGGACTGTGTTTCTTTCAGTGTATGTATAAGAGAGACAAAACAAGGCCTGCTGCTTAATGATGCTTTATTAGTCTGTAGTTCTTGTTCTATCCCTTTATTTAATTTCAATAAATTAAAAAATGTCAAGGCTTTCTGTTTGACTTTAAAAAAAAATCTCCTAACATTTTTGCAACTTTTAGTAATTTTAAGAGGGACTTGTTGGCTGCGTAACTGTTACAATATGTTCATTTACAACTAAACATAACCCTTTTTAAACTCCTTGCTAGCTAGATGATGTGTAATGTGAGATAATTAAAACAATAGTATGACTAAACAATATTTTCCTTTTCTTAAAGTTTGTCCTTGTGTTAAACAATTTGGTTTCTTAAGAGTGAGTGTAACAATGCATACATGAAGGAAATCTTCTAAATGTCTGCAGCATGTCAAGGTATCATTTCGCCACCTTTAAATTTAATTAATTATACCTGAAAAGGAGGATTGTAAAGCAATGTGTCAGTATTTTAATTCTGGCATCCTATGGAAAGCAGTCAAACCAGCAAGTATTTAGATTAAATATATAAGATGTCCATGAATATAGCTTTTTCCTGGAAGCTTCTGTTCACAGGAGAGATTTTACTTTTCCCCTCACATACACCAATAAATTAGTGGTTGATAAAAGCTGATACTTTGGCCTACATAATGTCTCTTGTCTGTATCCCTAGTCCATCACACCTAAAACAAAGTACTTCCTGGGCTTTGCAGTATATTCCTGGTTACCATATATTTGGTCAGAAAGGAGAATGGAATTGCAGACATTTTGAATTAGACTGTAACAGTAGATCTTAAAAGGGAAGAAGACATCTGAAATGGAAGAGGACAGATCAAATTTTCATGAAGAACAATGAATTAATTTTGTCACCAACATCAAGCAGAAAGTTCAGTGGTTCTCAGATGGCCATATTGTTTGTGGAGGATATCCCTTGCTGATAAGCATCGTCTTTCCATTGTTTATTAAAGTAGCAAGCGGGCTTGTCGTGTTCAGGGAAATAAAACTTTGACTTTAAAGTTCTCTATTTGCTTAGGTGTAAATATTATTGTAATTTTAGTTGTTGATGACCAAAGCTATCTGTTTAGGGAGTGTCAAGTCTTAGAATTTTTTTGTTAATGTTGTTCTAGGCAAGACGAGTTGTGGAAATGATCCTTTACTATCCTGCTCAGTTTGATAAAGGCCAGCACATTTTTTGGGTCTACAGATTCTTCTCCAGATCTGAAACAGATCTGGTCTCTATTTGTGTGTAACCAGTTTCTGAGATGAAACTTTCCCAATGTCAAAGGGAGATACCCTTGATTTTTTTAATGATGTAGAATCACTGGTTCTCTGTGTAAGGAATACAGTTGACATCTGTAGCTTTTTTTTTTTAAATCAGTTAATTAGACATACATTCAATTTGCTGTAACAAAATTAGAAAAATACTGTGCCTTTGGTATGGATGTGATCAGAATATATATAAATTTAAGGGTTCTTGGTGTTGAGAATCTTCACTTAAATTTAATGACCCTCCTGAGATTAGCAATCATTGCCATTTTTATTGTTGCTAAGTAGTGAAATACACTTTCAAATCAGAATTGCATATTGAATAAAAATTCTAGATTTTGAAAGTCTGAGTGGAAAGGAATCAGTTAAGAAATTTACTTCCGTCTAAGATAAGAAAAGTTCTTTTTTCTTTTCTTATTTTTGTTCTTTGTTCTTATTTTCACATCAAGAAACTTGCTTCCAACCTTACACTTCTTGATATTGTTGTAGAGGAGTCATGACTCCCCTCCCTCCCTTCTCCTCCCCACCTGTTGAAGGTAAACCCTTTTTGAGAATTGAAGAGGAAAAGTGGAAAGTTAAATTTTGTTTGGTATGTCAACAATTCAATTGCTTTTAAAAGCTGTCTCTTCTATTTTGAACTATTGTATAACTCCTTTAGTATGCTGTTTTAGGAACTCTATTATCCTAAAAGCTACTATACTATCTCTAATTTTTCTATTTCTGGTTTTACCACCACTTAATAACACCTATTTTTGGTTTTATCTTGTGCTTTTATGGTACTGGCTTTTTCAATAATGTAAAAAGGCCAATTGTTGCAAGTCTGCTAAAGGTTTTGGACAAGTGACCAGTGATTTCAGGAGGCTGTAGGAGTCAGAATCTCTGTGTACTGTAGCTGTTCTGATCTTCTGGAGTGTGAGGTGCGGGAAGGAGGGATGTTCTTGTGAGACTTTGCCCACGGCGAAACATGCAGTACAGCAACTGTGTGTGAGCATCTTTCAGGAAAAAGACTGTTGTTCCACTGTGTTGGGGAGAGTAGGAAATCATCCACATTTCTAGTCCTGCCTCCAGTCCTCTTTTTCCACTGAAGGAACAAGGAGGTCGTTGCCAGCAGCATTATTCCATCTTGAAAACAAAAGTGTGTGTATGTGGAGGCAGGAAAACTGGAAGGGAATGTCTGAAGTGTAGAGCACAAATTTGTATTGCTAATACTGTGATAGTGCACATATTGTTCAGTTTTACATCTAATAGAATTGTGACAGTTTTGTGGTAGCTTCAGGTAATCCAGCACTAAATAATACTGACAAAGGCATGATCGTGTCGTTGGATACCTTGTTAATCTGAACCTAAAACATTTTTCTTTTTTTTTTTTTTTATTTTAAGGATTTCTTACATGTTACTTATAATCAAAGTAACATGGCCTTTCTGGTGTTTGTGTTTACGCTTTGTAACTAATGTCAGTATTTATTATGTTAAATAGCCATAGGTTTTAGAGTTTCAGTTCACTTATTTCTTCCTCACCCTATCCTTCTTCCTTCAACCTTTCCTACGTTTTTACTTGGGGAGGGCAGGAAAAATCTTGAATAGATAAGCTTCCTTGTTTAAAAAAAAATCTATTGAGAAAAGATTTTTCTGCATTTCCATTCTTGTTCGGAAGATACGCTCTGATATAGGAAAAATAATATTTATGGCATTATGGTGATTTTACCTAGCCAACTCAATTCTTACTTATAGTAAACTGAATTAAGGATGTTAGTGAAGAGGTTAGAAATATTTGGGCATTTTGCTCATCTACTTACTTTGTCCTTGCTTAGTGTATTTATACAATTAGATCTCAAGTTTTCTTATTCTGGTTTTGGGCATTCAGGAAGATTTTTGATTCAACAGTGCTCGTTCATGGTGTAATCTGTTCATGTTTATTTTTTCTCTTCCTTTATCTACCATACTGTATATTATTTCTGTAACAGAAGTGTCAGATTAGCAAGAGAATAAATCAGTAGTCATTAAAGTACCATGAGTAAGCTCAAATACATTGTGATTGAATATAACTCATTTTAAATTACAGTTATATTTATTTTCTGTTCAGTCTTCTGTCTTCTGAAACTGCAGTCAGTTTCAGCCGAGGGACACAGTGACTTGTGAAATTCTCTACCACAGCTTTATGGATGGTTTCTGAGTTCCTGGCTATGTCATTCTGTTTGGTTAGCATTTTTGTTTGTTTGTTTGTTTGTTTTTTAGCGGGTTGACTTTCTGTAGGTAATTGGGATGGGAGGGGGGAGACGACGCTTCTTGGATAAATATTCTCCTGATTTGCAGTTCTTCTGATTTAAAGTTAAATTGAAAAGCCATGCTGCATAACTTCTTGTTTCTGCAGATTTAACATTCTTCCTATATTTTAACTGTTCTGTGTGACAGGATTTTCCAACCGTTGTGAAATGATATCACAGGTAATTAGACCCTACTATCTTAAACTTGGTACAGGTTTTTTTGTTTTACTCCTAGCTTGACTCTTGTGGTATCATATGAGTAAAGAAAGGACTTTGTCTTGGTTGTTGTACTCTTCTACATCTGAGATTCTTTGTTCTTCGTGAAAAATCTCAATTACTAAAGCATCAGTCCATTTATAAATATATGTTTGCTGCTCCAGTGATACTTTTTAGCTTTCAACTTCACAGGAAATACTATGATTTGTTTCAATACAGCACAATAGTAAGTCTCAACTAGGTGCATTCATTACCAAATGGATAATGTCATTTAAAATGTATCTGCTTAAATTCCATGAATAAGTAAATCATCTACTAAAAATATACTACTGAATCATCCACTGAAAAATAAATTAATGAAATATCCATTAGTGTGGTTGTCTTTTATTTCTGATATTTTAATAGCATTTTGAGATTTAGAGAAAATTCTTTACAGAAGTGTAAATTTATGAAATGCTGTTATTGTTAACTAGACTGTCTTCTGTGAAACTGTTGATACACATGAATTAGGAAATGATCCTTTAATTTTTTAATAGACTACTATGTCAGCCATTCTGTGGTTGTGCTAGGGTCTTATTTTGTCCTTATTGATCTGTAGTTACCCAAAATAATTTATACAACTGAAGTAATATTAATGTTTAAGGTATCTGTTAAAGACATTAATAAATAGATTGTACTCTTCCAGTGGATGTAATGGTTATGTATCATGAGGGTGGTTTAGACAGAAGCGTTGTGATAACTATGGTCTTTATGTGGCTTTCAAGACTCTCTCTTAATTCATTTTTGGTGTCCAGGAATTTTGAGGGGAGGAGGGTTGTATGTGTCAGTGAAACAATTCTGAAAGTAAAGCTTCATATCCTTTAGTCCAATGAAGTTTCACCCAGAACTTAAATAAAGAGGTGTAGCAAGTTCATATTCAGGAATGTGTGGTGACTGTAGCCCTGTTAGAATTAATCCCCTGATTTTCAGGAAGATTATAACTACAAAGATGGTGACTCTTACATTGTTGTATGTAATCCTCTTTTTAAGATTGTGTAGAGATAACCTCAAAGATTTTAACCCTTAATCAACATGTTCAGTAGCTAAACTGGGCATTTATTTTGAGTAACAAGAAAAAGGGATTTAGGGCTGAGGAAAAAAAAGTGTGTGCATGATGCAAGCAAGCAGTAAATAGTGCCCATAGGACATAGTGTTCCCTTGCCCATTAGTGGTTAGGGCTGGCATTGTTTGAAATAAAACTGTTTAAAATTGTTTATTTAAAAAAACTCCCATCCTTCAGTGCTTCTTCACCACCTGTTTTTCTTTCTCATATAGGCTTTCTTGCAAATTAGGTCAAGAAAGTACTGGTATTTTGCTTTTGACGTTATCCCTGGTTGTGAAAGCTTCTCAATCCTCCAAATGAACATCATCACTTCACTTCGTGTAATTGCCATCCCATCCCTTCCTTCACCAAGATCAGACAACTTCTTTAGTTGAAATTTTGGTTATTTTTGGCCATGCAGGTATAGTTTGTTCTGGCTCATAAAGATGGGAGGCTGCTAGTCCTTAAAACTTCCAGTTTTTCAGTATTTGAAGAATTTCTAGTTGTAGAACTTCTTTTAATCTTTCTCAGCTTATGAAAATTTTTACTTCTAATGAGGCAAGAGAGTGATGGTGTAATCCCATCCTAGTGCAAGTCTGTCAGTCCCTCTGCTACGTGACTTCTTTACTGTCCCTGCTTAGTTTCATACAGTATATGCTTGCACTCTCTCTGTGCTGCAACCTTGCCCCCCAGAAACCTGAGATTTTTGGAAACATTTATGTCAACACTATTCTTTTAATTCAGTAGCCTTTATTTTTGTTTTCTGCATGTTTCTGATATATTTATAGATGATGAGCAGCTTTACTTCCAGTCTTTATTATTTTTAGACTGCTCTTTCATTGTCTTAATTCTCCCAGTAGTGGTCTTCATGTTCTGTCCTTTTCGTGACTACGACAATCAGTACTAGTACCTTACACAATGTCACTGATAGTGTTTTTATCACTACTGCAAACAGTTCATGTGATAAATAGGGTTGTTATCCCATGTCCCATCCCCGCCTCCCCCCTGTGGCTGCATCATGGTAGTAATTTTCCTATCAAAGGCTGAGGGTCTAAGTTTTGGATTATGCTTCTCTTCTTTGATTGTGCAGCAGCATTTGTCATATATCCAGACCAGCCTTCAGGGAGTAATAGGTGTCCAAAGCTCTAGATAAGATCCTTCATCCTGTACAATGTAACTTGGCCAACTTTTCTTCCTGAAGGCTTTGTTTACCTGGAAGAAAGACGTGTTTGACCGAGAGTGAGTGTGACCCAGTGTGCATCAGGCAGTGAAGATTTTTTGTTTGTTTGTTTGTTTGTTTTTTCAATATGATAAGAGTAGCTTTTTGGATCTTGAATGAAAATTACAAACATCATGATATGAGCAGGCTCTCTCTTAGAATCATAGAATCATAGAATCAGTAAGGTTTGAAAAGACCTCTAAGATCATCAAGTCCAACCGTTAACCCAACACCACCATGCCCACTAAACCATGTCCCTAAGCACCTCATCTACACGCCTTTTAAATACTTCCAGGGATGGTGACTCCACCACTTCCCTGGGCAGCCTGTTCCAAGGCCTGACCACTCTTTCAGTGAAGAAGTTTTTCCTAATGTCCAGTCTAACCCTCCCTTGGCGCAACTTGAGGCCATTTCCTCTCGTCCTATCGCTGGTTACTTGGGAGAAGAGACCATCCCCCACCTCGCTACAACCTCCTTTCAGGGAGTTGTAGAGCGCGATGAGGTCTCCCCTCAGCCTCCTCTTCTCCAGGCTAAACAGCCCCAGTTCCCTCAGCTGCTCTTCTCCCAGGGGAGCCAGCCTGCATCAGAGCTGATTAGACAATAACCTGTTAACTTCATTTAAAAATGTCAGTAGCTGAGTTTGGATAGTTATTGATGAAAATAACTGATGATTGAAGCCTTAAATAAATTTTTTTGACGTGTTACTGAAAAAGAAGTTTCTAGAAAAAACAATTGATTAGTTTTCTTCTTTTGACTCAGAGAAAATGTAATGTTTCCTTCCCCCTTAATTCCTAACCAGTTCTTAATTCCTAACCAGTTAAACAAGAATGGGGGGGGCTGCAGCTTTGGAATCTTTGGAACATGATGAGACCAGAATCAGTCAGTTCAACTAATTTGCTCTGTTCAGTAAAGCCCTTTTAAATATATGACATAACACTTTCTTCATGTATTGTTGATAAAAAGCTATGTTTATTTAAAAAAACTGTAAGTGTTTTTTTGCACTTTCATATATTTTAATTTGTTTTTCTAAATAGTATTTGACATATGTTAATGCAGTATTTTGTTTACAACATACTAAAAATTTGGAACTGTAATCATTGCTGTGTAAATTTACTTAGGTGTACCATATTGGCAAGAGTATAAGATAGACTTCTATTATAGAATGATGTTCATTTTACAGGGGCAGAAACAGAACATTGGGGCACTGTTGGCGTGGGATACAGTCATGTAGTTATTGCAGAAACATGCAGCCCCTCAACCAACCCCAAGCCTAACTTTGTTGCATCTCCATCCTCTGTTGGGATCTCCCTGGCATTGTAATAATTTCTCCCAGGCATCACGGTAATTTTTCCTTCAAGGGGAAAGATGCAAAGCTAAGTGTAGTGAATTCTCACCTCCCTGTTACCAGGAGATTGGCAAACACGCGTTTGCCAAATGCAGTTAGCAGCTTAGTAGCAAGCACAGCCAGAAACTCGGGTTAGGGCAGGTGGTATGCCTTGCAGATGAATCAGCACCTGAAACCTGAAGTCTGAGGAGATTAGGCAATGAACTGTCTACTTGAGGACTTTGACACAGTTTATTTCTTTATTTCTATATTTATTTTGCTTTGTGCGTGCTAGGAGTAGAGTTTAAAAACCCCACAAAACCCAACTAACCAACTAAATAAAAACAAAAAAAACCCCAAGCATTTTAGATCTATGCAGGTTGAACAGTAGGAGGGAAAAAACCCAGTAAAAATAATCATAATTTGTCAGTTACAAAAGTATGCCTAAACTAATTTTTTAATATATGATTAGAACTAGATTGCAGATCTTGGTTTCTTGTGAAGAATTTGAGTTTACTTGCCACAGAATTGATCACATGTTGCTGCTTTGATGTCTTCCTATCAGTGGCCTCCAAAGTGGGGTGCGCAAGACCATCCATTGAGGTGCAGGAAGAAAATATTAGGACTTACGTTTTATCTGAAAAATAAGAAGGAAATTAAGCTCTATTTAATATACGTATTGACACTGGTACCCTCACTCAGTCCGTATGTCAGATGGTCCTGTGTCACGTATAGTTCGCGAAGTGTCCTGAGGGCGGATTTAGTATTCCACAGTGTGGAGGGATCACAGTAGCACCTTCAGTTGTTTGTTCGCTTTCAGTGTATTGCAATGTATGCACTTTACATGTGGTTAGGTGGATTTATGGATTATATTACCTAGTTTTAACTAAACTAACCCTCACAAAATGGGCAAGTGGCTTAAAAAAATTAGTGCAAAGAGACCACGGATTGAAGATAATACTAGTAATGTGAGCACAAGTGAACAATAAGAATGCAGCAGAGCTGACGCTTCTCCTACTCCGAGTATGAGCTCCTGGTCAGCCGCATCATGAGGTAAAACCAATGGCAATTAGATCTGACAAGATGTTGGCCAAAAAAATTTGGGTTTATCAAGAAGGCTATTTGAAATATGGATGTACATCCAGTATCATCGATGATGAACCTCACCCTAAGAGAATATTGTACCTTGAGATACCAGCTAATGTTAATATGAAGCTATCACAATTTGCAAGGATTTAAAAACTAAGCATCCAGAACATGAAGACAAACCTGCAATTTTTTCAGCAATGTTTAAAGTTGTGCGATTGACAACTTTAAGTACTTAAGTACTTTACAAGATTTCACTAAGCTTAATGATAGATCTTTAGAAGCCTCTTTTGAGGTTTCGCAATAGCAAAAGACATAGAAGCCACATACTCTTGGGGAAACACTTGATCTTCCTGCTGCAGTAAAAATGTCTGAAATAATACATGGAAAACAGTATGGTGACAAACTATAAAATGCATTCCTTTGTCAGCAGATACTGTTGGCAGATGTCTGGAAAACATTGCCAAAGATTTGAAGAAACAAATATTAGAAAAAATTACACAGTGTGGGAGGCTTGCTATACAGTTGGATGAAAGTATAGATGTTTGTAACGTGGCTCAGCTTACAGTAGTTGCTAGATTCTGTGTCAATAATGAAATACACAAAGAACTAAGTCACTAAGGAAAGACGTACTAGGGAAGATACGTTCTTTACAGTAAATGACTTCTTTAATAACAACATTTTTTTTTAAATGGAAAAATTGCAAATGTAACCACTGATGGAGTGGCTGCTTTGACTGAGGTAAAAAGGATTCTGGGGTAAGGTTACAAGGAGAGCACCACATGTGGAATTACTTCACTGCATCATGCGTAGGCAAGAATAAGGAAGTTGGAGCCAGAAGTGCACAAAATGGTGCAGGATGTCATCAATGTGGTTAATTGTATGAAAACAAGACCTTAAAATAATAGAATCTTTACAATAATTTGTAATGACATGGGGAGTGACCAGGAAAATCTTTTGTACCATGCAGAGGTTGGCTGGTTATCATGGCAAAGTGCTTAGAAGAGTCGTAAAACTTAAAGATTAATTATGCGTTTTTCTTTCAGAAAAAGATGAGTGTTCTGAATTTGCTGACCTGTTCTGTGATGACAAGTGGCTGTCAGAAGTATGCTGACTAACAGATATTTTCAAAAAAATGAAGACACTTAATGTGTCCCTTCAAGGGGAAGGTGATATTTTAACAATGAGCAAGAAGGAGACTGCTTTTTGAAAGAAACTCATGCTATGGAGAGAGCATTTTAAAAATGGATGTTTGGAAATGTTTCCATCATTGTGTGATTTTGTTGCCAGAAAAGATGTGTGTCATGTATAAAAACTCTCATATCTGTACACTTAAACATGGAAACAGAATTTCCACACCTGTTTAAAAGTCTTCCAAATGAAGAGTTTCAGGGGGTTTTGAACCCATTTGTTAAAAAAATTAAACTGCAACACCTTCCATTAGTTTGCAATAACAACTGATTGATATCGGGCAAGATGGAAATTTACTGGCCAAATTTCAAGAAAAACCTTTGTATAATTAGTGGATAGGAATGAAGAATGAGTATCATGATTTAGTAAGTGCAGCCAGTGATGCACTTTCATTTGGATGTACGTATATTTGTAAATTGTCTTTTCCAGCTATGACAGCCATTAAAACCAAGTTTTGAAATAAACTGAATTTAGAACCAGACCTTCAAATCACTGTATTAGAAAGTGTTAAGCCAACATTTTAAAAAATGATGAAGCATATTCAATTACATGGCTCTCTGAAAAAAAAATTAATAATTTTTTTAGCGAGAGCAAAAAAGTTTTTTGTACCATTAATAATAAAAATTATTTAAAAACACTGTTTATTTCATCTTTATCTCATCCTTTCTCATTTCTATTTTTATATGTTTTATAATGTACAGAATATGTTAGTACAGTAGTACCTATATATAATTTATAAATAAATATACACATATTGGGGGTGTGTGCTCAAAAATTTTTTACTGATAGAGGTGCACGAACAAAAAGGTTTGGTAACAACTGTTCCCATATTATTATTAATATCAATTAATGTTCACAGATATAAATATATGAAAGGTCATGAGGGCATGGAAAGTGTATTTTAAATGTACGTATTCTTTTCTCATGAAGAATAGTTGTCTGTTAGAAACAGAGACTATTTTACTTCTGGCTTTGTTTCAGATGTAGTAATTCAGGAGGATGGGAGTGATGTTGTCTGCACGTGCTTTAAGTGCTGGGAGGCTCCAGCTGAGATCAGAGCCACGCTATTTTAGTCACCGAATGATAAGATGGGGTGGTCCTTGTAAAGTGCTTACTGTCTCAATAGATGAGGGAGGTGATTTGCAGGTGGACCATAGTGGTATAGCAAATCTAGGGGTAGAATTCAAATGTTTGTCTGAATCACTTGTATTATTGCTTGAGTGTATCGTTCTGGGGACAGCTTGATTTTTTAAGCACGTTTCAGACGTTTTGTTCATTTGAAGTTGGTGGTACTTAGCTCATCAGACCATAAGCATACCTTCTGGAGGTAGGAATATTGATACGTCACAGCTGAATACTTTTTCTTGCCTTATACAGTTGTTCTAAACTATGTAAATGTATGCATTACTGAAGTGTCTTGGCATCCTCAAAAGTAACGTGGGACAAATTTCCAAAGTAATTGTTTTTTTTAACTGGTGTTATGAAATAATGCGTTCTGCCATACCTAAGTAACATTTGGTAACTTGCTGATTAGTTGAACATCTTATTTAATAGTTGTAACTACCATGCAGATATAAGTACTTTTTAATAAGCTACCTGTGTGCTTTTTTTTTTAGGCTAAAGCCTAAACCTCTGACATGGCCACAGCCTCACCAAGATCTGATACAAGTAACAACCATAATGGAAGATTACAGATGCAAGTAACAGGCAAGTAGTGATTTGTATCATGGTGATTTTTACAGGAAAATATATGTATTCTAAAAAAGCAATCTCTGAAATGAGTGTGAAAAATGGATCAGTATAGTTAATATTTTAATTAATAAGTTAAATATTACAGTTAAGAATATGACTATAATATCTGTAGATGAATTGAAGCTAGGTAGAGGTTATACAGTGGGTTGGATGACAGGGTTTAATGATCTCTTCAAATTAGAAAAAAATGAGATTCAATTCAACAGTAGGGAAAAATGTAAGGAATTTTGTTTGGGAACAAATAATTAATGGCACAAATTCTATAGAGGGATCACATATTACTGAAATTCTACAAAAAAGATGGGCAGTTGTAGTGAATCCCAAACTGATAATGGGTGCAATGTTATAGTGAAGCTGGAGAAGAACTGGAGGAGATCACAGAATCTGCTAGCCCTTCAAAAGATTAAGGTCTTTGATTTTACATATCAGGTAAACATCTGTTGAGAATAATATAGGTATTCTGTATTATCCTTAGGGCAGCAGGTTGGATTACACAGCCAGATGGAATAATTTAGGTTGGAAGGGACCTTTGGGGATTTCCTAGTTCACTCTTCCGCTGAAGGCAGGGCTACCTTTGAAGTTGGATCAGGTTGCTCAGGGTGTTGTCCAGTTGAATTTTCAGTATCTCAAAGGCTGTAGATTACCAACTTTCCTGGGCAGCTTGTTCTGGTGATAAACCACATCACTGTGAAAATGTTTTTCCTTCTATCCAATTGGAATTTACTACGTTGCATCTTGTGACTGTTTACTCTTTTCCTTTTATTGTGCTGGTTCTCATACTTCAGGGCAGAATTCAGCCATCTCAGTACCTGCTGGAAGGGAAACACAGTGGGCTACAACAATTCTGGAAATTTCTGATTGTGTTGGGGACACAATCAATAGATTTTTTCAATAGATGTTGAACAGGCCAAGTAGGTTATGCATTTTGCTACTCATGGATAAGAACTGGTCAGGGATGTGACAATCAGTGTCAGTATTAGCTGCTTTTTCTGTGGGATGGCAGAGCAGAACAAAGACTTCTTGTAGTCCGAAGATAAGCAAAATGCATCTAGGTAAACAAGTTTGATAGCTAATTATGACAGTGTTAGAGTAGTTAAAAGTGAAAATGTTACCAGCAAGTAGTTAGATATTGTGCATAAATATATATGCACATAAATGTGTGTGTGTATGTATACAAGTATTATTTTACCATTGATAAATAACTTGAACTTTCCAGGGATCCTGAGAAATCTGGGAACCCTGAAGTAAGAATGAATGCATGACCAAGAATATATTATGGCTATCTTGAACAAAATTTGGAAAAAACATGAGTAAGGTACCATGTCTTAAAAAAAGCTGCATCTCAAGAAAGATACATCATGCTGGATGGTCCAAAGATGGCCAGGTTATATGAGAAAAAATACATTGTTGGAGAGTCCCCAAAATTGATATTTTATCAAATTAGATAAGAGAGGGACCTTAAAACTGATTAACTTTCTGTAAGAATCACATAACTTGATAACATAACTTTGATGAATCATCAAAACTGGCAATAACTAATAGCATAGATGGAGCCACTTGCAGATTAAATATATGTAACTGTAACAAAGTGAGTTACACGAATGAACCGTAACTTCAGATCCGTGTATGCAGAAATGATCATTTTGGTATCCTGTACTGTACTGTTCCTTATGTAAGTAGTTGTGTATTTTTCTGGCACTGGAGCTTCTCTTGAGTTCAAGAGATCTGGTTCAAGAATCATAGTGGGAAGAAATCTGTATAATTTTTAGGATTAGTTTTCTGAAGGTTTAGTTCTCTAACCAGTCTTTATTGCAAGATCAGAGGAACGCCAGTGGCAGTATAGGGAA